GCTGTGAATTTTTAAAGAAGAAGCTATCCTTAATTTCAGCCGTTGCTAGGGCTTGTTCAGTTGGATGGATAGTTTATTTAGGGGACATATATTCCTTGTACTTTTCATCAACCATTTGTGCTACTGAAAGCCCTGAAAAACTGCTGTTAGCTTTAAAATCAGGCCACCTGTCAGACATTTAAGCATGAAAAAGGGGGAGCTACCTGACTACAGGGGAGTTCAGGACTAAAACTCAGGCTGGCTACTCTTGTGCCAGCTGCTGCTCTTCCTCAAAAGCTTTAGTCCTTTTGACAGCATAAGCTATTCATTTTTTATAGATTTTTTTTTTTTTCCCCACTGGAGTTTCTTTCCTTTTCTAAGTGTGAACACCCCCAGGTGTCTACCTTGCTCCCCTTGACTGACATTTCTGTAGCAGATGGTGCAAATAAGCTGCCATGTGTGGTGTTTTCTGGATCAACATAAGTAACTGCTACATACAGCTGCGCTCCTTAGTATTTTGTCTGATGACACCTACAGAAGGATTAAACAGCATGCCATCAGCTGCTGAAGTTTCCCACAATAGAAATGTCACTTTGTGTTCGCTGATATCACAGGTTTGGACATTCCAGTAGGAGAGTAGTGTCAAGTGGGCTTCCAGATTTTCTGCCTTCAGTTTCCACAGAGCAAGAACTGTGCAGACCCAATCAATGTGGTAATTGTGGGCAGCAAACCTGGTTACAGATCAGGCAGCATGATTGTACCTTCTTTTTCCCTCAGGGTGGTTTCTCTCTGTAAAGATGATTTCATTTAGGCGACCAAACCTATCAGGCTCAGTCATCCTCACCTGTCACCTGCACCTTGAGCTCACCCAGATTTTCCTTGTTGCTAAGAGGTTTGGCGAGGATGTGATGCAGCTCCTGTGGCTGACACCCCAGGGATCTCTGGAGCTAAAAGTGTCCTGAATGAAAGAGATGAGACTGTATAATATGGGACTGTAATAATTTGCATTCTCTATAGGGAGAAGAATAGAAAAGCATGAACAGGTATTTGGTAGTGTATTACGATTGCCTGCCTCTTCTTTTTCTCCAGACTCATATTCTTCAAAAACATCATTTTTCACTTTTTCTACCAAATTTTCTGTTCTGTGCCTCAGTATACATAGCTTTCCTCATTTTTTATATACCCGTGCTGTATCTTCTTCCTTTCTCCCTCATGAATTATTTGACCAGATTGTTTCTCTCTTCCATGTAAAGTTTGCCCTTTCATCCTTATCTAGACTTGATCAAGCTTTCACCTTCCCTACTTTGCTTGATCCCACGATTTTTAATACATCTTGCGCCATGGAGCCTATGTTGCTACTGCTTTTTTGAAGATGACCTGTCTCTCCTTCCTGAAACTGCTTCTGCTTCTGAGCAAATATAATTTCTATTTTCCTCTTCAGTATGTATGTATTCTGCTTACCTTATTACAGCTATTTTGCCTGTTTTCATCTTTATCTCTTGTCAAAGCTATTTGTGCACTTTTATCATTGGTAGCATACAACAAGCAATATTTCTTACATGTGGTAAAGCTTGCTGCTTCTGCACGGGTTTTTGAAGATGAACTACCTGGTAATTATAGAGTCATAGACTACAGACCTGGGAAGGACTTGCAAATAGATTATCTGGTTGATAACTGCTGCTGTGAGTCAAAATAAATAGTACCTGTGTTATTCCTGAAGAATGTTTGTATAACCAATGTTTGTATTTCCAATCTCACTTTTAAAACTACTTTTGCTTAATTGAAGACATAAGATTTAGTCCCCTTTAATTCCTTATATATAGTGTTTGATTCTAATTTTAAGGTGGATCAATCAGGCAATACTTAATGACTGAATAATGCTACACATGTGGCATCTGATCTAAATTGAATCAAACTATCAAGTAGTCTCTTGTCACAATTCAGTCTGGTTTTGCTGTATCTCAAACTCTTAAGTCTTTCGATCAGTTTTAATTAGCGTTAGCCTCTTGAGATGTATTGGGAATATCTTGATCTTTGAGACCATCACGTTTAGTACATACTGTTATTGAGTTGAACTGGAAGGAGAAAGCAGCAGGAAGGAGACAAACATAAAGCTTCAGATGCACAGATTTCTCTAAGATTTCATTTTTGTTGGAAACATGCTCATGTCCCTTTCCTCATTCCAAAAACAAATTAAAAAACAAACTGGATTTTTTATCTTGCTTTCTCACAAGAAGTGGAAAATCAGCTGCTTCAGTCCAGTTGCTAAGGTGGCCAGGAAAAACCTCGAGGGCAGAAATACGGATAGAAATGTGTATAAAATAAATGACGTTCCTGCCTTTGTTTTGTGGTCTGGTGTAGGGGTTACCTAGGTCTTGTGTTGGAGTATTGCTGTACATGCAGAGATGAGTGTGCACACATCCGTGTCTGGGAAGCCTTGAACAAAATACCCAGCTCCTTTCTGTTTACGTCTTTGAGAGGTGAAGCTAATAGTGTTTCAAAAATTAACTTACAAGGAAAGCATCTGCATTTTTTTTTTTTAATTAGAACAAACAACTTCACTACATGGGCAATAGGCTTGAACCTATCTTGTTCAATTAGCATTGGAAATGTTTAAGATCATTCTAGAAAGAAATCAACTGGGAAGTGCTGCAAATCAAAATGGAAATGAGATTTTTGCTTTAGACTGACATTGACATTATACCTTCTCCTTCAGGTGAATCCCCTGGGTGGGGTTCATTGCAGCTTGCTCATGAAAGCTTGTGGCTATCAATGGTGAAGGCAAATTTATCAGCTATATTGGCTTTTCCCCTTTGTTTGATAAGAAATCAACCTTTGTTTCTGAAAATATAAAATAAAACAAATCTGTAAAGTCTCAGTAATATCTACCTCTTGTCACCAGTGTCTTATTTCTGAGATTAACAGATACAGTTCTCAGCTGCTGAAACACCATTTGAACAACAGCAGAACTTTCTGTATTTATTAATTAAAGGTATCAGTTTGCACCAGGCCTGTTAAAAGGGAGCAAAATTCATGCATCTTGTTATTTAAGTACTACTTAATATTTTTCAAAATGCCAAAATATTGTCCCTCCTTCAATGCAATTTAGTACTGAAAGTAACCACGATCTTACAAGCTTGTCAAAAAATGTACCAGTGTTTTTCCCTAAATTTCATGCATATCAGCTGAACCACATGTGCTGTGCTACCTGCAGAGTTTCAGATTGCTCTTTAGGCAGGACTGAGCAGCTCAGGAATTCTCCAGAGATTTTTGTTCCTTTTCCTTAATGAAAGCAGAAATGGCAGTTAGTTTCCCAAGCATTATTCAGAAGAGTAAAGTCTGTAAGACATTAGCTAATGTATTTTTGGTGGGTGAAGTCCAGCTCTGTTAGAGCCATGGTGGCTCCTCTGTGTTCTTTAGATGTTTATTGATCAAATAAAGTTCTAAAAATGCATCACAAGCATTTCTGTCTATGCTGCATTTAATTAATCTACATTTCTAGAACCCTCTGTACCAGAGGGAGACAGAT